TATTCTATGACAAATCAACAAAAAAAACGATTTTAAAATTTGTATAAGAGTTTGTACATATTATAACAAAGAAAAAAATTAAATTTTAGCCCTCAGCTCAAAACATCTTTTAGAATGATCCTCCAAATGACAAAAAAATTAGGCTTTGTACAAAATGCACTCCTTTTAATTATAGATATCTTTGGATATAATTGAGCTAGAAGAGTCATTAATATTTTTATATAGCATAATGATAGAACTTTAAAATTATATAATTTTAAATATTGTCAAAAAATTTTAAATAGCAAATAGAAAACCGGAGATGGTTATAAAATCAAATCGGCATTTTTTTTTCTCTTAAATCATATATAAGGTGAATTCTATATTTAATCAACCAAGGTTTCAACCCGACCCAATTTTTTGAAATATTGTATATTGGTAGTTAACTAAAATAAAAATTACTTCCTTACATCACTTGATATTGACATTCGGAGGCCAATTTGTCTAAGCGACTGTGTTTAAAATCTATAACCGTCAATTCATAAAGTATAAATATATTTTTTTAGAATTCCTCTTTCATATCTTTTTTTAAAATTATTTCTTCCTTCTGTTTCCTTCTCTTTGTCCCCCTAAAATCCATCTCCCACTTTCACGTAACGGGAGTGAATAGCAATGCCGACTAACGGGAGCTCTTATGTTCAGATAATGCGAGTAGTTAATTTGTAATGAGTCACAGATTTTCAGTGTAAATAAAACCGAAAATATTGCACGAGATTTTTTTTACCCCATATCTCGGATCAAAATTCATTTTTGTTGTCCTGTATGTACAATATAAAAACACTCAAGTCGGATATCCTGACTAAACCGAAGCATCTGGCAGCCATAATATCTATCATTTTTTCATAATGGTTTATATTATAATTTTTAGATATAGGTAATTTATATTCTACAGTGTTGTGTTGATTTAAGGAAACATATTGACGATTAAATTAAAACCCATCCCATATAAAAATATTTTGTTTGCAAAAATAATTAAAATATAGACAATGCATTATCGAAAATTCTTTTATTCTTCCTTGTGTTATTTTAATTATTTTTGCAAACAAAATATTTTTATATGGATGAGTTTTAATTTAATCGTCAACACGTTTCATTAAATCATCACAACACTGTATTATAAAAATACTAACTGATAGCCCTCAAGAATAATGGGGAATCAGAACTTTCTCCTTTATTCGATATAATGGATGTATAATAAATTTAACCTTTATTTAGATAAAGGGTTATTCTAAAATTTTCCAATATTTTTATAAAATATGTTAATGAAGCATATATTTAGTAATTTTAATTTATGTGCACAATAAAAAAAACCTTGTAAACTAAATTTTTAATCATTTGTATTTATAATTTATAATCTGAAAATTATATTCTGGTGCTTATTTTTGATTTAACATTGCCCCACAAAACTCATCTAAAATAAGTTATGCAAAACTCAAGCACATCTAAAATAAGTTATGCAAAACTCATCTAGCAAGAATATATTTTTTAGATTATAAATTACAAATACAAATGATTAAAAATTTAGTTTACAAGATTTTTTTTATTGTGCACATAAAAATTATTAAATTATGCTTCATTAACATATTTTATCAAAACAATGGAAAATTTTAGAATAATCCTTAATCTAAATAGATAAATTTCTGAATCACACCTCATAAAATATGAAATTTCTTTCATACATCTACAGAAAAAATCTGTTTTCTAAGGTACATCCGGTTTTAAATATTAATCAGATTTCTGTCATATTTATTTATATGCTATGTGAACTATGCTATTGCTCTACTTAATTATTTATCGACATTGAAAATAAATAATTACTTTTTGTCAATAATGTACCATTTTTCCTCTCTTTTAACGTCAATATCTTAGCGGATAAGCACTGTTGGGAAAATTTCATTTTTTCTTAGTTATACTATATATTACCAATATACAAAATTTAAAATTCTGAAGGGGTCTGGTTTCTTTCTTTCTGTTTATATGGGGATTAATGTTCCTCGGGGCCGCTTGCATGTTCCTTTTAAAGAAAGATAGAAGAGAATTACCTTTTTTTGTTAATATGATATGGAATTCAAATGTGCAAATATTTTAATTATTCTATGTAAATATTTGATATTAATCACTAATTTTAATATAAGTCAAAAGCTATCAAATATTTTATGTTTAATATTTAAAAGAATAGTTATTTAAGATATGTAATGTAAAAGTATTTTTTTTGGTCGAAGGGGGGTTTTGATTAATTTATTTGATGAATTGAATTTCTTTCCTCATTAAAATAACTACAAAATTCAATCAATTTTTGCGTATAGATTTATTGAAGACAGAATTTAATTTTATAAAACTTTTTTATTTTTATATACTGTAAATTTAATAATTTTCTCAATATGAATAAAATTTAACTTTAATTTAATATTGTACTAAGGCATAAAAACTAGGGCACTGCTGATCCATAAATTTTTCACCGATCCGATATTTCCCCTTATTAGAAAAAGTGATCCAATACCTATACGTTATTTATATTGATTTTTATTTACCATATCTTTGAGTAAATGTCATAAAAATTTAAATATTTTCTATAAAAAAAACCAACTAACTTTCACGAATAATTAAGTGTAATTTGTTTTTTTAATTCACCATAAGTTAATAATCTCATTTAAAATATTTGCATGTTTATGGGTAAATGTAGTGTTGCTAAAAACTCCATTTGGCCGATTTTTAAATAGGGTCAAATCAAGATTTTAGCCAAAATATTATTACCTAAGCCTCGAAATTTCGCCAATATAAGTCAAACTCTTCTTATGTAAGCAAAATAAATAAGCTTTAGCAATTGACTTTTGGCCAAAATCTTAAGTTAATCGTTTTTAAAAATTTGCTAAATCGAGCCGTTTAACAAAACGCTAAAATGTGACTGTTAGATATTTTAAAATCGTTTTCTTATTAAAATAGTAATTCTTAACTATTTTTTTAAATATTACATACAACAAATAAATTGTATTTTACTTCCTTTTATTAATTTATTATTAAAGTTATTTATATATAATAAAATATATATATATATATACATCATAAAATAACCCAAAACGATAGATATCATTGCCGATCCTTTATTTAATATGGTACAGCCATGTTGTATTTTTATATAATATATTTATCTATCATAAATGAAATATTTGTATTTTCTCTATATGGTCAAAAAGTGAGGGCAATGCAAAGTCAGAAAAAGTTGATTTTGAGTGAGACCGGGGAAAGAATATAACGGGTCCTAGCGTGATAAAAAATATAACCCTCTTTAAAAAAGCATGACGGGACCATCTTCATTATTATTAAATTTTTGATCATAATCTTGGATTTTAATTTAATCTCAGAACATGAACAAATCATCATTAACAAGAAATATATTTTTTAATGTATTCGGTTTATTGATGAATTCTGTTATTTATATAGTGTTTTTGATTCCACTCCCCAATATTATAAATAGTTGTTTATTTTGTTCAAATAAATATTTAAATAGTTGTTTATTTTGTTCAAATATATATTTAAATAGTTGTTTATTTTGTTCAAATATATATTTCGGGTTAGGCCTTGTATTTGAAAAACTGGACCGAACCGGGCCTGGATATTTAAAACCGGACCGGGCCAGACAACCTTTATAAATAAATTGGAATCGAGCCGGAAACAAATTGGGCTGGATTAGGTGAAAACTAAATTCCAACCGGACCGGGCATGAAAATTTTGCCATTTGTAGACCTCTAATTCAAATACACTTAATAATTATGTTTCCCATTGAATAGGATTTTTAACCCCATATACATGTACATATTTCAATATTATTAGCAAGAAGTTTTTTCTTCATGCAATATAAATGTTTATGCTTTTTTTTATTATACAGATTCAAAATAAAAATTAATTTGCTTTGCACCAAAAACAGTTTTACCATATTTTTTAAATGAATGAACATTTAATGTCATACAAACGTTATTTATACTATAATTATGATATTTAAAAATACCCATTTATTATAGTTTTGTTAATAATAATAAGTCATTTTTAAATGATTGCCGCCTACCACTACAGCATCATGCTTAATAACAAATATTAAATAAATAAAATTTAAACAAAATCATCTTATTTTTATTGTTAATATTTATCGATTTTTTGGTAATTCTTCAAAAAATGTAATTATAAGTCAGTCTTCGATTCTCTTCCATAACTTTCGATATTTAAATAATATATACATTCCTTTATAAATAACTTTTTCTAAAATGACCTGTCTATTTTTCAAACTTAACCCTTTGACAACTTTTTTTATTTACGATATTAATATTGGAGGATAATAAAACTAGCAGTAGAATGTTAGTTGATTTATTATAAGCTCTGCCTCATCTCTTTAAATTATGGTGATGCCATGCGATGATTAACAAAAATACATTTCATTTTTTAATCTCCTTATTAATCTTATGCGTTTAAAATAATTTTAAAATATATTGATTAGATGAATTCCGATCTTTCCAATACATTATATTTATTAAAATTAGGTTTTTTTTTATCTATAATTATTTTCTAATCAAAAAAAACTATCAAATTTTTATAATAATTTAATTTAAAAAAGGTTGTGTTATAATCCCAATAATGAGACGTTGCACTTTTATTTTATTTTTAGTTTATATTTCTATTATAAATTGTATTTAATATTTTGATTATATAATATCTGATTGAAGCGAAAAGGTTTATAAAAATTTATTAGATAATCTTCTGTATTTATTTTTATCTAAACCTGCCTACTTAGAGCACTTGAGCCACTCAAATTTTTTTAAAATCTTAGTCTAATTATATTTATAGATAGATAGATGATATGAATAAGCGGACGATTTAGATATTTGCCACAGGTCTGACATTAGGCGAGTGTACTATTAATACATGTAATGTATATTATAAATATTATATTTCTTTAAAATAAATTTTAGCAAAATTGAAATGCGCCAAATGTTCAAAGACTTGCAAGGGACACGTTCTCAAAGTCGATGATAAATATTACCATAAACTGTGCTTCGAGTGTATAGGTAGGTAATTATTATAAATGTTTTATTTCTGTTTCTTGAATTAAGAAGAGGTATCTAGACCAGCGGCTTTTACCAAGTATGAGGGGATAGACGCAGAATTCAGAAAATTTTAAGGATTAAAGTACAATATCTTGGTAAAATTTAAGTGGGTTAACTTTTTTTGAATTATTGAACACTCTTCTTCAGGGGAGTAATTTTGACATTTATAATGTTAAATATTTACTATTTATTTTTTACATTTAAATATGGAATAGAATTTATTTTATATTTATCAGAAACCTGCAGGCCCGGCCCTGAAAATTTTAAAACCAAATATTTTAAATCGCCATTATTACTATAAAAATTAAAAACAAATATAATATATTTATAAAAATTCTGGCCTGCTCGAGCCTGAAAACATAAAACCTGGAAAAATTTTTTCCAAAAAAAAATCCGGGTCGGGCCGTGCAATTGGTATTTCTATAGGTCTCTGATATTGGCAATTAATCTACTTGGTAATAAATAATATATAAATATTTTTTTGCAATACGTTTTTAAATTTTGTTATTAAGAAATAAAATTTATCATTCTATCATATTTTCTTGATGTTCTTTATTTATCAAATTTTAATCGTACAGTTATAAATAGTTTAAATTATAGTCACTATGTTTTAATGAAGTAAATATTGTACTATCTTATCTTCTTGCATAGTTATTAAGTGCTACTTTTGAAAGTAGGGCGCTAACGCTACTTGGAAAAAAGTGTGCTATTAGCTACTTTTTATGCTACCTTATAAAAAAAAATGTTTAATAAAAAATCGCCCAACAGTAGCACTTGCGGGCAATGCGATTAATTATATAAACTTTTTTACAAGAAAAATTTCAAAAATGTTAATTTGATTATTATAACCCATCAAGATTGATTTATTAGCTAATGTATCTTTAGATTAATTAACTTTATTTAGCTGCTCTTTGTATTAATTAACTTTATTTAGCTGCTCTTTGTATTAGAACAGAATATAAATACTTACTTCATCAATCCCAACAATCTGCTGTCGTGATGATATATGAGACATAAATCTAATATTAAAGATTCTTGAAAATTATCCAAAATTCTTGCCATCAGATTGCCACCAAGGAAATTGGCTGAACTGTATCAATTATAAAATTAATTATGACTATTAAATTTTTGAAAGGACTGGTTCTGATGTTATAGGATTGATTAGTTTGAATTAAATTTGATTTATTGCACATTTCCTCTTCTAATACATCAAAATTATCGAAATATTTTCTAATCTCTGAAATTTTAGGTATGGGTATTCTAAAATTAAAATAGTAGATAATCATTATATTAAAATTTGTGAATGAAAACTTTAAATGTTTTTTATACTTCTTCATTTTATACATCTTAATTTAAATCCTATATTAATTTTTATTAAGATGAAAATATTTTGCAAATTTGGGGAAGGATAAATCCAGAATATCATTTTATAGGGAAATTTCGTTATTATCATCTGTTTCAAAATTCTTTTTCACGTTTAATCTCTATTAGCGGTAAAGCAAATTTTGAATTATAATATTCAATTAAAATTAAAGGCTATAAAATTAAAATTTATAAATAAATTTATTATTTTTTTATAGAAATTTTTAAAGTAGCGACATAACATGCTCCTTATCTACTCTAAAAAGGAATGCACTACTGCTCTCGCTATTTTTTTAAAGTAGTATGCTCTTGTTGGGAGGGGGCGAAATCAGTGGCTTAGGGAAATATAGAAGATGCTAATCTGTGGTGTGAAATATTTTTAGCTTATTTCGAGAACCAATTTTACTTTGACAGATAAAATTTATATTATAATCGAAAATATAGATATTTAGAGGATCATGACCAGAAATAATGAGCTTTCTTTTTTTATTTCATAATTAGAAATGTCTTAATTTTTTATTCAAATTGTGGTCTAGTTGTCTAGATCAATAATTAGATTTTATTATTATGATAGAATAAACATGATGATATTTTGATCTATTCATTCTTTTACTTTTCATATTCAAAATACATTCATTCATTATTATATTATACTTAAAACTTTTCATATCGGGAAAATAACAATAACTCTAATTTATTTAATTATGTTTTTTAACTTACTTATCAATGTATCCAAAGAAAACCATTATGTTTTTTTAGCTTACGTATCAATGTATCCAAAGAAAACCATTAACGTGATTATATTTATCATTATAATCTTTAATTATTATTATTATAATTTTATGCAAAACGATTCTTTTTTACACTACTATAATATATTCATAAATGTTAAAAAAAAGATATACTACCTCAAATTTATCAACAATGATTTACAATTTAAGCGGAAAATATCAAATAGAGGAATTGGAATTTTTATGAAAGAAAGAAAAAAAGGGTGTCAAAAATAATAAATTTTGCATGTTTTTGAAATTCATTTTTTTTTAAATATTTCCCCTACTATTCGGTAAGGTAACAGATATGGCGATACTTAGAGAATTGTTTTTTTATTTTTTTGCCGATATAAAATTAATCATATGATTGTTAGTTGAATAACTTTTTTATGCAATTTGCACTAAATAAAAAATAATCTTATATATTTAATTTATCGTAAAATTTGTTAGTTTTTTCAACTAAATTTTTGCAAAATATAAATGCCCTCCAAACTGATCTTTATTTATTTTTATTACATATTATCATATTAGATATTCAGTCTGGAAGGTTACTTCCTAAAAAATAAACTAATCACAATACAAATCATAAGAAAAAAGATGGAAAAATATCAAATTCATAGTTTTTATTCATTTCATCTATTTATTACAGGGATGCGTATCCTTGCCCAGGTTCGGTTTAAGGTTAAAAAAAATAGGTCGGTTCGGGTTGTTCAGGGAAATATTTTTAACCCGGGTTTGGTTCCGGGTTCAGCTCTGGTTTAAGAAATTTGAAAAATAAATTTTTTATCATTTATAGGCAAAATATAGTTAAAAATACAAAGCATAGTCTTGTATAGATTTAAAAAAAATTTATTTAGACGTATTTCTTTAAATTAACAATATCCAATATAATAATTTTTACTTTGACGTTCACTTTCATTTTCCTCTAATTAATAATCTTAGAGATTAAGTTAAAAATTAAAAATAAATGGCGTAAATGAATTTAATTGTTTAAAATTTGTTAACAATCCAATAGAAATTTTTGAGAATAAATTTTAAAAGTAAATGAATTAAGTTTTTATAAATTTATTAACACTTCACTTAATTGGAAATTTGAAAATATTATAAAATGTTAAGTAAATTATTAATATTTGTATTTACAATTAAACAAATATTTTATATTAATTTAAGCAATACACTGAACCCGGTTGAACCCGGGTTCAAATAAAATTCCCGGGTTCAATTCGGGGTTTTGAAATTTTATAAACGCGGTTTAGGTCGGGTTCAAATTTTTTCCCAAAAACCCGGGTTTTCTTCTCAGGGTTCGGGGTCGGTTCGAACCCCTGATTTATTACACACTGTATTATTATAAATCTGGTAGATAGTCCTTCAAGAATGACTGAGGAATCAGAAATTTTTACCTTATTTGTTGATGGGTGTCAGAAATTGGCCTATTTTATGAGGCATGAATCAGAAATCTGCTTTTATTTTGATGAGAAGTAATTACAAAATTTTACATTGCAAATTAAAATAAAAATACAACAGGCTGGGCCTAACAAACCTATATTTTGATTTTGATTAGTACTATTTAAAAATAAATTATTTTATTATAATTTAAGAGTTGTCTAACTAAAATACTAAATCTAAAAAATATTATAATAAATTCACAAAAATTAAACAAGTTAATTATGATATGATTCAATTACAAATACATATATCTGTATACAGATATTAAATATTGATTTATAAAACGGTTGTTGTAGAAATAGATAGCAATAGAGGAGAGATATAAGAACCATTTATTGACATTGGGATAAAATAAGATATAGATATTAGGCATGAAGGATTTCATAAAATTTTAACAGGCTTGGACGGGCCTGACTTTTCGTAAAATTTTATCGGGCTGGGCAAAACGATCAATAGAAATTTTTTTACGAACCGGGCTTTGGAGTCTATTCAAAAATGTCTTTAATATGCACAATAAATATTTTTAGCTACATTTTTTTACATTAATATTTGTAATTTATGATCTAAAATTTTTAATCTAGTAGATGAGGACATTGTCTACCTTATTTTTTCTATTTATTATTGCCATACAAAACGCTAGCCTAACAATGGTGTTGTCAAAGACGATTTGAGCCGATTTTTAAAACGGCTGACTCAATATTTTATTTAAAATATTGCCTAAGCCTCGAGATTTTGCTAATAGATTTCCAAACCTTTGTCCCATCTATGGGCAAAATTCTCAGGCCTGCGTAATATTTTAGATAAAATAATTTAGTTAGTCATTTTTAAATCTGCTCAAATCGAGTCGTGTAACAATACTGCTGGGCAATATTAAATTTTTAGATATAAATACAAATAATAATGTATAAAAATGTAGTTGAAAAGATTTTTAAGACAATTTTTTGAGATATTATAATCGATATCCGATAAATAGTCGATTTACTTTCAATTATTTTCATATAAAGGCCTTATGCATTCAAAAATTTTTTTTATTGTACAAATAATGACAATTTTTTCTGATATGAAATTGATATAATAAAAAAATTATATTTCAGACATATGTCCCAATTTGTTCATATTGAAGGTACTAAATATATACACTTCATTAAATAAAAATAATGGAAATTTCGGAATCAATCCTCATCAAAATAAAGGTAAATTTCTGATTCACACCTGAGATAGGTTAATATCCATCCATCATCAGGAGTAATCTGATTCCCTCATTATCAAATAAAGAAAAAATTCTGATTCCCCGTTATTCTTGACGGGCTGCTAGTATTAATTTATCCTTGAACAATAAGTTTAATCAATTTGAACATGTAGGGGTAAGAAGAATAAAAATTG